TACAAATTGTTAAAAGGGCATTCTTGACATTTATGTTGATGTTTGTCCTTATTTTCATGAAATTTCAAATCTTTAAAGACTTTTAACTAGCAAATTGTGGTTGTCCTTAAACTTTTACATAAATATGCAAAGGGATGCCTTCCTAATTTTTCCTTTTATTTTTAGGTATACTTAAGTTAGATACATCAAAAATATAAAAAAAATTATGAAAAAATTTAAATAAAATTCAATAAATATAAAAATGTACTGAACTTTTTGATTTTAGTACAAATATTTTTACTTTTTTAATTCATCTAGCTTAAGTGCATAAAAAGTCATAAAAAAAAAATTAACGAAAAATTTGAAAACAATTTACTAAACATAACAAAATGGTAAAAGCAAAAAATTCAAAATTAGAGATACTCGTGGGTCAAGTTTGGATGGATTATATGTCATCTATCACTTGACCGAATGAGATTTGGATTGAGAAAATCCCATCCAAAACTGACCATCCGTGGTTTCGAAATTGACCAAGCGAGTTGAGTGATTTGACAGGTAAAAATGAATAATGGTTAAATGATTAAGCAAATCCTAATTTTACCACCTCCCAAAAAATCCTAAATTTTTACCGAACAAATTCTATTTTACAAAAGAAAAAATAAAAATTTTATTTTTTTAAGGTGAACAATGAGGAGTGAGGGTTTTACTTTTTCTGAGAAGTAAAAACAATCAATTTCAATTTTCAATACTTTTATTTATTAAGCAAATAAATAATACAATATATAAATAATATGTATATATATATATATCAATATTTATGAAGAATTATTAATTCAATGCAATTAGGTCAGATTTTGAGAATTGAAACTTGAATATTCGTTATCCGACCAAAAACATAATTTTTTTTTAAAAAGTAATTACTAAACTTGCAATTTAAAATAGAGTTGAGTTGAGTAAGACGGGGTAGACATGTCGATTCAATGGTTGTCCAAAGAGAATTGACGTTTAATGAAATTTGCTGGAAAGTTATTTTTCTTATAAATTTTATAGAATGTATGCTAGTAAGTAATTTAATCCATTCAAATTTCCAAGTCACCACTCAAAATGGATAAAAAGGGAAAGATAACAAGAAGTTTGGTAAATGAGCTTAGTGGTTTCCACAATTTTGTCAACTTTTTTTATTCTTTTCATTTCAATCATAATTTTCAAAACATTTCTATTGATTTACAAATTATTATCCCATTTCTTATTGATACGTTATTTGTTGGAAATGGTTATAAAATTCTGGATAAAACGAGAATTTTTTCCTAAGTTCGGTCTATTTTTTAGGTGGGCCCCGAGTGTCGATTTACTCGGGTCAAAGTGGTAACGCGTTTTATGCTGCGTTGTGATTCACGTGGTATATTTGGTTGCTCAAAACCATTACCGGGTGAATGGGAAATTGAAGCCAAAGTGTGCTCCATGGAAATGGAGTTTTGGTGGAAATTCCTTAAGGTTGTAAATTGGCTTGTCCCACATTGATTTGGTGGGAGGTTTTGAAAGGGTTTATAAGGCTTAGGGTGAGATACTTGGGGTGTGCCCCAAGGGGTACCCAAGTGTTTTAGAGGGAGAGGTTATGGGCAAAATGGGCTAGACCCATTGGACCCAAAAAATCACCACACGCGCGCCGCCGCCGCCGTCCGTCCGGGCGGGCTGGGCCTAGGCGCGGGTACGTGGTGTTGGGTTGGGCTTCTAATCTTTTTGGGCCAAAAACATTTGAATTTAATTTTATTTTTTATTAAAATAAAATCCAGAATTCAAATTAAATTGGTTTGGATTTTTTGTACATCCAAACAGGGCCCTTCCCGTTTTCAAACAGAAATAAACTGTTTTGGAATTAGTGTACATCCAAACAGAGCCCTTCCCGTTTTCAAACAGAAATAACTGTTTTGGAATTAATGCACACCCAAACAGGGCCCTTCCTGTTTTACTATCTGTTTGAATTGATTCAAATCTGTTTGAATTCAAAACCCAACAGGTATGATACCTGTTCAATTCAAAACTAAGAGCCACCTTCATATCTATAAATAGGACCACCCTCATTTGGATTTTGTAACTCTAATTTTCGTTCTTCATAATTCTGCAAACATCCTCTTCATTTTGCTGCATTATTTTCTTGTCAGAGAGAGTATAAACACTTAGTGTATTCGTTAGACAAACAATTTGTAGTGCTGCTATTGTTTGTAGTAGATCATTTTATCCTGGGAGATAGACGTCCAAATTCTGAAAGCACCGTGGAGAGGACGAATCTGTCTTAAGGACACAGTGTCAAACATTGGACTTGATCAGATTATAATTCGAAGAAATTAAATCAAGTAAGTTATTTAATTAATTTTTGTGTTACTGTTATTTATTTAAATCAGATTTTAATTTTGTTTTTGTAACAAAATAAAATCTGTTTTTATTTATTTATTTATTATTTCGTGTTTGATTTTTGTAATCAAACGAATTCTCTCCTTTTTATCTATTTCTTTTATTCTAGTTGTTGTTTTGTACACAATAGAATTAAATTTTTTAAATACAGTGAAGATTGTCCAACATTATTTTCATTCCATTCTTCATAGATGTGATTACAATTATGATTTGAATCTAATTCTTTTTATGATTATTTTATTTATAAAAATCATATGTTTTCAAAATAAATAGACTGAATTATCCCAATCCTTGATTTTAATACTCTTCTTTGGCAAGCATTAATGTTTGACAATTATTTTTTTACCATTTTTTTGGGATAAAAAAATTATTTTTTTTAAAACTGATACTTTTCGCAAATTACTTTTAAAAAGTTAATACTTTTCATTGATATAAAAATGCTATAAAGAATAATTGTTAAATTTCTTGCAGAATCTTGTAATTTTTGTAAGGTATATTTTGGGAGGAAACTCATTTTAATGAAAAAAATTAAAATATGAATTTTTTATTTATAAATATCATATATTTGCAAAACAAATAAATTGAATTATCCAAATCCTTGGTTTTAAGCATTAATGTTTTGACAATTATTTTTTTAGGATTTTTTGGGGGATAATTTTTTTTGAACTAATACTTTTCGCAAATTAATTTTAAACAGTTGATAATTTTCATTGATATAAAAATGCTAAAAAAAAATAATTGTTAAATTTCTTGCAAAATCTTGTAATTTTTGTAGGGTATATTTTGAGAGAAAACTCATCTTAATAAAAAAAAAATAAAAAATTAAGGCTGTGTTTGGTACAGCTCTGGAATATTAGTTCCAGAGCTGATTTGAACAAGGCGTTTGGTTGCAAATTTTAAAAATTAATTTCATACTTACTTTTGAAAGCGCGGTTGAAGGCGGGAAAATTTGGGCTAACTGGACGTTTCACCGGTCGTCCAGTCTGTTGACCGGAATAGTGCAAATTTTTTTTTTTTTTTTTTTTTACAATTGACACATGTTAATTTTTATATATTCAATAAAACATATTTTCTGAATTTTTTAAAATTTTTTATGAGTTTTAATAGAATTTTGAGTTGTATGTTTGGTTATGAGTTGTAAATTTTTGTATCAAATATCATATGTCACATCAAAAAATCCCCACTCAATTCAAAACTCTTTTCAAAACTCATTCACCAAATAAATTTTTTACACTCAAATAATAATTTTAAAACTTACAAATTCAAAATACAATTCTATTTTCAAATTATATTTAGAAAACTCATCCAATCGCAACTTAAAATATGAATTCTCAAGTTTTTTGGTAACTGAAAAGTGCAAGTCGACCAAAAGTCAACTAAAGTGTCACTATGGAGAGACACATTGCAAAGAAGTTAGCCTATATTAGGGCTTTATTATAATTTTTTTGAAGGGTTTAATCTTAAGTGAAAGGTCGCAGGTTCAATTATACTTAAGACAGAGTTGATTTAAGAAGCAAATATTTTATCTCTTGCAAGTAGGATTGTGCAAAATATCAATCAATTTGTTAAAATCATACCAATCGGCAACAATCCGCACTGCTCTATCTACTAATCATGATTTAAATTTTAAAATTTATAATATGCTTTTGAAATCGTTTCGCTCCGCTGTAGTTAATGCATATATACTTTTTAACCTATAATGAAATATCAAAATAAAAATAAGTGTAAGAAAGATTTAATGTATGAAATTTATTATAAATTAGTAGTTATATATATGAAAAATATAATGTAAAATTAGTTTGTATTATATATATGAAAAATATTATATAAATTAGTATTATATGTTATTCAAATGTTTGATAATTAGTTAGAATATTCTTCAATTTGTTAATCCGCTCAAACCGTAATTTGTCAATTCGCTAGTCTACTAATCTACTAATTCATCATTTAATTTATAATTTTACTTTTAAATCGTCAAAACCGTACCTCGCACAACCCTATTTGCAAGAATGGAGAAATGACTGACTTTCGCCGATAAAAAGTTAGCCTTTTTTTATTTAGGAGGCAAATACTTTGTCCGTTACAAGGATGGAAAATAATTAACTCTCACCGACAATAAAAAAAGAAAAAAAAAATCCTAAATTTTTTATTGTCTAAGCAGTCCTTGCTATTGCCAGGATTTTGATAATTGAAACTTGAGTATTTGTCACTCGACCAAAAACAAATTTTTTTTTAAAATTATTAAACTTGCATTTGATCAAGCCATTATATCGTAATTGTCAATTTAAAATCGAATTGAGTCGGGTTAGATGGGTTAGATAGGTCGGCTCAATGTTAGTACGAAGAGAATGACACTTAGGCACTATCTGCATCTCCTACAAAAATGTATTTGTTTAATTTTTTTTAAATCAAGTCACTCTTTTACATATTATTTTTATAAAAAAAATTAAAAAATATATTTATTTAGACTCCTCGACACAACACCGATTAATGAAATTTGGTGGCAAAATCGCTCTGCCTGCTAATAGCAATATCTATGTACAAGCACTTTCCCGCCGTTCACGTTCACTCTGAACAGTACCCTACTCTACTCTCTCTCTCTCTCTCTCTATCTCTCTCTCTCTCTTTATAAAAACCAAAACAAAAACAAAAACAAAAACAAAGACAAAGACAAAAGTAATAAATTCTTGTTGCGCATTCATATTATTTTACAATTCATCGCAAAACCCTAATTTCTTGATCGTCTTCGTCTTCGTCGTCGATTCGCAGTAACGAAGTTTCGCTCTCATCGCTCTCTGTTCCTTCGATGGAAGGTACGCTTCGAAGCCCTTGTTTGATTCGGTTTTCTTCCCAATTTTGCCTTTTATATTAGCTGATCAATTTGTTTTGTCATCGATCGATTCTTTGTTTGGTTATCGGGAAAATGTGGGAATAGATAAGAGAAAGATTTAAACGTCAGACTCTTCAGAAAACAGACATTGAATTCACAATTCTCTCTCTTTTTTATTTTTTTTCTTTTTTTCTGTTCTTGATTTCTATTGAATTTTGATGTATGGTTGTGAACACAGGCAAAGGCTCCCAGTGTAATGATAGCACCGGTGAAGATAGCGATCACGTGATATGTTTGAGTTCAGATAGCGATAGTGTTATACATTTGAGTTCTGATAATGAAGGTATCTTTTTTCTCTTGTGGGTTTTTGATTGTGTAATAATATTTTAAATTGAAATTTGATGAATGGGTATACATCATTGATTTTTGTAAGTGTTGAGGGGTTCAGTGTGGTTGATTGAGTAAGCACCTTTTGTATATTGCTACACACATTGAATTGAAGTACTGTGTGTAAATGTAGGTGAACATTTTTTGAGCACAATGGAAGAGAATGAAGGGAGAGAGGTTTGGGACTTGGATTCTGTGCCAAAGGATTGGGTTGGAGTTAGTGATCAAGAAGATAGTGCAAGTGATTCTAATCTTGAGTATAGGATGCCAAAGTGGAATAAAATGGGAGGCCCGAGTCACGACAGAGAGGAATTCAGAGTGCAAGAGGAAGTGGGGTTGGTTATAAGTAATGGTGAAGAACTACAGGATCTTGAGATGGATATTGATTTTCCTGTATTGAAGAAGATGAGAAATGAGAAGACTAGGAAAAGGAAAAAAGATAAAAGGACCCTGAAGTGGGAAGTTTGGGAAGAAGACCAAAACAGATGGGTTGAAAACAATATGATGAATGATATTGATCTGGAAAATCAGAATGAAGTGATCACTGAAACTTGTGATGCATCTTCAGATTTGGTTATGCCTCTGCTGAGGTACCAGAAGGAATGGTTGGCATGGGCTTTGAAGCAAGAGGAGTCTTCCACAAGAGGGGGGATCCTTGCTGATGAGATGGGGATGGGGAAGACTATTCAAGCAATTGCCCTTGTCTTAGCTAAACGGGAAATCAGACGAGCAGTTTCAGAACCCATTGGACACTCACCTTCACCCTCTTCATCCACTGCATTGCCTGAAATTAAAGGAACCCTCGTTATTTGTCCAATGGTTGCTGTGAGACAGTGGGAAAATGAGGTTGATCGGTTCACCACAAAAGGAAGCAACATGGTACTGGTGTATCATGGGGCCAAAAGGGAAAAGAGTCTTCAACAATTCTTTGAATATGATTTTGTCATAACGACATACTCCATTGTTGAGTCTGAATATAGGAAAACTGTGATGCCACCCAAACAGAAGTGCCAGTGGTGTGGGAAATTATTTTCTGAAAGTAAGATGTCTACTCACTTGAAATTGTGTGGGCCTGACGCTGTTAGAACAGATAAGCAGTCAAAACAACGGAGGAAGGGGGCTAAAATTTCAGGAAAAATGTTAAAGCTATCTGTGTCTACTGACGGCCAATCCAGTGAATCTGAGGGTGACGAAAAGTGGGTTGTGTTCAAAAGGGCTATGAAGCTGAACACTGAGGAAAATGATTTAGGAATTGGCTCTTCCAAGGATAATTCAGCAGGTGTTGAACAAGGTGTGCTCAGAAGGAAATCTATTTTGCACTCTGTGAAATGGGATCGCATTATTTTGGATGAGGTAAGTTTCACTTACTGTGTTAGGAAATCTTTTGTACTTTCTTGCTTTCCTTTGGACTTGCTCCAACTTGAGGCATATGTGAGTTTGCATAAAATAGGTGGGATTTATAAAGTCATACAGTTTAATACAGACCCATGCCCCATGTAGAGAGTCTAGAGATAATCATGTCATTTGTGGTTCAATCTCTCTGTGTATTAAGATATGCGTTTCCTTTTCCCTTTTTAATAATTGAACGAAAATAGAACCATTCATAATCATTTTTGTCAACCTGTTGAAGCTATCAGCCCAACATTCATATCATTGCATATGGCGATCAAAGATAATAAGTAGAATTAGATTAATTAGATTCTTTATAGCAATCAAAATAAGAAGTGAAGTTAAATTCTTTGCAAAGTTATTGTTGAGGTGTTGGGAAGACAGGTCGTGGGTACAGGATATTTGATGGTGTTTATAATTTACAATATTTGTACATACACATTTATCAAAAAAAAAAAAAAATTACAATATGATGTGAGGATGGGAGGATGGGTCTTATGACTAAATGTTTCGGTGTTTGAATTTCATCTAATTGAAAAGTGCTGAGATCAGCTATCCAAGTCAAACAACGTAGCAGATAGTGGCTTTATGACCGCTTATTCCACCTTTAGAGGTCCAATGAATAATTTATTGACAACATATGTACGTTACATCTGCAGATTTTGGATTATAAGTCCAAGACTGTTTACAATATAAAATTTCGAAGTTGTGAAAAATGGCATATTAATGATTAGTACCAAAAAAGGAAAAAAAAAAAAAAGGGAAACAAAGAAAAGAAAAAAGAAAGAAAATAAGTTTTATGAGATTTGTAGTTTATTTGAATAAACAACTAGATTTTCTTTGGAAGCAAATTTTTTTAATTATTATATTTTATTTATTTATTTTGTGTAACTACATCTTGGCTAGAATAATTTTCTTATTGCTAATTGTGAAAAACCAGTTCTGCGTTGGGAAATCGGTTAAAAGTTGTCTTTTTGGGCTTTTTTTTTAATAAACGTATAAAAAAATAGAGATGTGATGTGATCCAAAAAGGTAAAAAGCTAGAAAGCTAAAAAGCCAAAAAAGGTGCTTTTAACCGAGTTGCCATGTTTATTTTTATTTTTTCTTCCCCTGAGTTAAACTTTACTATGTCTTATGTCACACATTTATCCTTAATTGTCTACTAGCAGTCTGACAAAGTCATTAACAAAGTTATGCTTTTCCTTATCTTCCCCCTTTTACTTCCTCTTTGATTTCATTTTTGCCCATAAACATTTTATATTCAAACAATAAGTAATTCTTTCATCAGCATCTTACTACAAATATCTGCTTTCAGACCTTATTTAGAGTCTTCTTACAAATGGGCTTTAAGTGGAACTCCTTGCTTTAGAGTCTTCATTAACATTTTATGTCCAATATAGGCTCATTATATAAAAGGTAGAAGTTGCAATACCACAAAAGCTATCCTTGCTTTAGAGTCTTCATACAAATGGGCTTTAAGTGGAACTCCTGTTCAGAATCGTGTTGGAGAACTTTATTCACTGGTATATATAGCCTTTATATGAGTTAAATTTTCCATGCAACTTTTACTTCTAAAATGTGTTATAAGTTTTGTTTTATTTACACAGGTCCGCTTCCTACAGATATTCCCTTACTCTTATTACTTCTGTAAGGATTGTGACTGCAAATCACTTGATTACAGGTACAGCCCAAGATTCGTTATGCTCTATTCTCCTATCTGAAGTTGCATGAGTAGAGTAACATGGAATTTTCCATAGCAACCCAAACTTTGATACCATTTGTATCCAGTCCACTCTATGATTTGGTAATTGAATCTGAAAGAAATTTAAGGAAGGTTCTTTTAGGGGAACTGTGTTTTTTATTGAATTAAAATCCCATTTTCTGGAAATGCAAACGCAAAACTACCGGGACAATTCTGGGGATTTGTTTCTTTGTCATGCTAAATGCAGCCTTTGATCCAGAGGTTCCATAAGTCGTCATTAAAAATGCAATCTCTTGATTATTGTAGTTGAGATTATACAACACAAGGTATACCATGTCAACTGCTGTGTGTAGAGGCCCGTTTTCTGCTTTAGTGTCTTGTGCCCTTTTTTCTCTCAATTTTCGTTTCAAGTACATGCATAGTATGTAAGAATCTGCAGCTGTGAAGCTGGGCTGTTATATCAAGTTATTATATCTATCTCAGCTCTAGTGTGATCTTTTGTTTTTGCTATTGCTGTCTGTATTAATTTGTGATTGGAATGTCTGATAACTTTTTAGCAGTTTTTTCCCCCATAATTTTGTTGTCTTGTTACAGATCGTCAACTAGTTGTCCAAACTGCCCTCATAGTTTTGGGAGGCACTTTTGCTGGTGGAACAAGGTGAGACAAACATTCAGTACTGTTTTTGTCATTGTTTTGGTTAATTGTTTAAGGCATATATTGTATTGAAATATTTGTGGTGTTGTAATGTATTCCATTTTGAATTTTAAAAGTATGTGTCTACACCAATACAAAAACGTGGGAATTCTGGTGAGGGTAGAAAAGCAATGCTCTTGTTAAAGCACAAAATTTTGAAGAGCACAATGCTGAGACGCACTAAAAAGGGTAGGGAAGAAGATCTTGCACTGCCTCCAAGAATTGTAAGTCTTTCACTATGCCACTAATGGTTGCATCTGCATCAGTCATTTTTGAAATCTTCTGATATTCGTTAGTTTTAATTTTTTCTTCAGATTACATTGAGATGGGACACTCTGGATATCAAAGAAGAAGACTATTATACATCATTGAACAACGACAGTCAAGCGCAATTTAATACGTATATCACCTTCTATATCCACACCTTTGCTCATTAGTTTGGCTATATAAGAAGAGAGTTCTTTTTAATACTCCTTCCCCTCCACAATTCATCTTGTACAAGTTCATGATTCTAGTTCTTCACATCATTTTAATGTTTCAATACTTTTGGATGTGCTCACTCAATTTACAAAATATATGGTGCAATTTTTTTTTATTTTTTTTATTTGTTATATTGTCATTGACATCATTTTTGCTACTACATTCAATACTTTTGTTAGATTTACCTTCTCTAAATACATCTAAACATTTCAGATATTGAAGGATTGATTTTTTGTTTTTCCTTATTGAATTATAAGTTTGTCTCTCTATTGAGAACTACTGTTTTTAGTATAAATTTCTGCTACTTGGCTGAACCTTTGTTCTTCATGGTTTTGTTTCTAAAATGTCAAGAAACCTTGCTGCTCTAGCCACTCCATATAAATAACCTGTGCTTAATTTTGACTTACTCTTCTGGAGTGAATTGGATGTTTGAACCATCTACAACTTGATTCCTCAAGTTGGCTTGTTGTTGCTTTCGCTTGGTGCTTTATGTTGTTATATGGTTTTGGACAAGGGTGTTTCGCTGCCCTTTTGCTTCAATGTCTTGCTTTATCTTCTAAACTCTGATGTCATTTTGTTGTTGCCAGGATTTCGTTTAATTAGCTTTGAAGAGCTGATTTCTTTATCCATTAGTGTTGTTGTTGTTCCTATTTTAACATTTTAGCCAAATCTGCTAATGCATGAACATCTTTATTGTATTTAGAAGTGTGTAGTTAATTGATTAGACAGTGGCATTTTATTAAATTGACATGTTGATTACAATGGTAGGTTGATAGCTTCATGGGACATTTTTTGAAAACCAAACATTTTTGTATGGTGATTTCAATCTGAAGCATTGATGGTGTTCCTGTAAAATTATTATAATTTCAAATTTAAAGCATCTTTTCAGATTACAATTGGTGTCGATACATCTAGGAAACTAGCAAACTAGAGGATTTTAGTGTCTTGTCAATGTATTTTATGTGTAATTGTAACTTTTTTTTGTCCCCATTGTGGGTTGGTGGAGCTGTGCATTTATCCTAAGACAATCATTGGAAAGGGGATAATCATTCCTTTGGTTTCTTAGTTCGCTTAATAAAAATATACTACTCTTCAAATTGTTGATAGTTCCACTTAGGGTTGTTTTGGGAACTAACTATTTTCGTTGCCTTTTTGGCTTTTTATGAAAAGACGTGCAAAAAACTAGAGAGAATAGTTAACTTTTTGGAATTTTTGGCTATTTTAGCAGGTTGCCAAAACAAAGCTTAATCTTCTTGCATTTTTTAAATCATGAACTTTTATTGAAGAGTGGCAAAAAGGGGATGCCACCCATACAAATGTGAAGTATATGCAAGGACATACCCTTACAAAGAAGCACTGTTGATGTTCGCTCTTTTATAGTATGCATGAACCTAGAATCCTCTAGAAAGCTGTGCCGTTGATGGACAACACTGTAGGCTATTGTTATTTCTTAGTGCCTTTTGTGGGATAATTTGATTGGAAGATCGTTTTCTTTGGGATATTACTTCACCTTGCCAAACAACTTTGTGGCATATTTTCACTTTATCTTCTTGCTTTTGACCTCAAGGATAGGTCTTTGTTTTTTACAGCATTACTGGAATTTGATCCTTTAAGAGCTGGGGCTCTCCTACGCCTGTATGTCTATAGAAGCCATATTGTTGTTCATTGGGCATTCTTACTATGTTGAAAATGATCTATTTATTTATTTTTCAGAATCTTGTTTCTTGTAATCAAAGAATCACTTTTTTGTTTCTCCTAAATGTAAAATGGTTGCACTCCCCCTACCTAACACCTATAAACCCTCCCTAACCCAGGTGAAGGTGGGATTAGATTGCAGATCTCTGGTACTTCGTACCACACACTAAGGCTCATTTTGGGAAGTGGGTTAAAAGCCACTTCCCAGCTTTTAACCCACTTCCCTCTCTCACAAAAAAGCCAAAAAAAGGCCAAAAAGTAACTTTTAACCATCTTCCCAAAACACCCCTAAGAGACTTTACTTGCATAGGTAGCTGACATCTTCACCCAAGCTTGTACTCTTCTTTACAAAAACTTCTTCATTCCTATTTACCCGTACTTGCCCCATCTCATATGAGTAGTGGTGCTTCTTTTTGTTGGAACATGACACCTCACAGGGATGGAACTCAGTCAGTCCTGTTGACAAGTTTGGCCTGAATCCTTTCATTGGGCTTTCTGGATTTTGATCCAGCACATCATAGGCGTAAGGATGACATGCATTGTTTGACAAATAGAATTTGGTTTGGACTAGGGCTGTCCATGGGTTGGTTCAAATCGGATTTGCTCTCAACCCAACAACTGAACCGAATCCATCGGATTCGTGGAAAGGTCACCCATTGCCAACTGATTTTCTATTCGAAATTGACTGAGCCAAATCATACTGTTTGCTAGTTAGTTCAGACAGCGATTCATACACAACTCATACTGTGATTCAAGCAAATCTCACATTCAAAAACATGTATACAACTTAAATTGAATGGATTGGAAGATAGAGGGATATGAGATTTGAACAATGTGATTCAAGCATACAGATTTGAGAGAGAGAAGATCCCCATCGTTTAGCACCACCACCACCATCGATCACCACCACTGCCGCCATCGATCAACGCCCTCCCATTGTTATCATTCTGCTGCCTTTGTGCTACTGCAATTAATTTGCACTGTGACAATCAATGTTTTCAAGGAAGAGAGATTGAAGAGGGGAATGGTTTTTGGGGTGGGAGATTGAAGAGGGGGTGAGGGAGAGCGGAGAGGGAGACAGGTTTCATGATGGGGAGAGAGAGATGGTGAACTGGTGAAGAGAGAGAGAGAGAAACTTCATGTTGGAGGAGGAGGCTTTTTCGTGTAATGGAAGATAGTGGCAAAATTGGTGTATTTGTGATGGGGTAGAGAGAAATCGACGGGTAAGATGTAGCAGATTTCCTGGAGACAAGATGATAAGGGAAATATTAAGTGGCCAGTCTACTTGCTCTGTATATCTTTAAAATGATCATCGGTCAGTTCCATTTGGTTTTGTCTGCCCATTTTTTCCAACATCCATAGATAGCTGACCAATTTAAATTTTGTAGCACTTCTACAACCGAAAGCCAACTAAATGCATTTATGGAGCCGACGGTTTCTCTTCGGTTCGGTTTGAATCAGATGGTTCCATTGGGCAGGATGGTTTGATGGACATCCCTTGAGAATTGAGATTGGCTTAAAGTTTTAGTGGCTGTGATTTTACCTCTAGGAATTAGTGTACATGGTCTTCTTTCAAGCTTGGGCTGTTTTGGCTTCATTTTTTTTTCATCACTGTTGAAATAGGCCTATTTGCCATCTTTTTGGCATTTCATGTGTTGAAATGGATGTCAATATATCGTATGCTATGTCCTCTAAGTATTCCAGTATTTAGATGGGAAGAATGTCATTGATCAAGTGCATTTGGATAATCTCTAGGTGTTTTTTTGGCTTAGAATTGTGGAGTAAAATAAAAAATTTTTTGGGTGCTTTATACTGAAAATCAACAAGGACCTCATTTTTGGGTTTCAAAATTTCATTTATTAAGGTGATATTAAAAAAATAATAATAATCTGCCTGTTAATGTGATCTGCTTTCTGATGTGCAGATATGTTGAGGCAGGAACTCTGATGAATAACTATGCTCATATATTTGTCCTCCTCACACGACTGCGGCAGGTAAAGGATTGTTTCTAAGTAAATACTTGTAGATGACTCATGGCTTATGATACCCTAATAGATGTAATTGGGATGGGTTGGGGTGTGTGCACTGATTTCCCCAACTCTGCTTTGGTGGAGAGAGAACACTTCCCAAATCCATGATGGGGGCTGGGCTAGCCTAGAAAAAAGCTCAGACAGAGAAGGAATGAGAAGTAATGACTTTGTCACCTGCCAAATCTTATGTTTATATTTGCTGACTAAACACACTTGTATGCACATGGCAATCTCTGCTCATATATTGGTGCACCCACCTCATCAAACTTTTGATATTGAGGGGAGCCTACTTGCTCTTTACATGAAGCTCTGACATGTGACAGGAAATTTCTGTCTCGAAATTTTCTGTACAAATAATATCATTGTTTAGTGTATATCAAATTGGCCGAGGCAATAGCATTACAAAGTAGTTCCTGACTTCCAATGCTATTAGTCTTGTTACCATCCTCCATTGAAACCTGAAATGAAGTTAGAAAGCTCAGTAAACCTTCATCTAGAACCTTTTGTAAGCCTCATTTAAGGGTTCATGCTCAGTAGTTTACTATAAAACCCAATTTATGCTAGAATTAAGCCTTTTCCTTGAATCACCATCTCGCTATATGTATGAATGCACCTTCATACACCAGGTAATTTACAAACTAAGAAGAATATTGCTGTAAATTTTTTATGTAATTGCGGTTCTAATTACTGCCCTGCTTTGAGCTTGGATTGGGCTAAGATACCTACCTATTCACAAGCTGGATCCTTGGCCCTTTGCTTGCCCCCCATTCCGTCTCAATAGTGCCATTAGTGGTGTGGGTTGAGTGGGTTACACTGTAGTTCTCGTTCGCTGCCAAAAACTCTCATATGGTGAAGATACCTTTTTTTTTATGAGTACATATATTGCATTAAAACAATGCTAGAAGGGGTGCAACCTCGTATACACAATGTATACTATGATGAAGATACCATTTGTTGGTTGCGAAAACAAAGATAAAAATAAATAAATAAAACGTGGTTTATTTTATTGGCCTGTGGTTGCTTATCATTTTAGAACAAAGTTGTTGTAAAAATGTGTCATTTGTGTGAATACTGTATCTGCTATTAACCATTTTTTCCCTGCTTACTATTTTTGTGGAATATTTGCGAGGCAATCCCTTATTCCATGTGGCAGAACCTTCTCATACTGATCTCGTGAAATCACTATGGCTTTGTTTGTATGATGTGCAACTCTAGATGGGCGAGCCTTATCCAGCTTGTTCAATTACCAAATGTTCACCTGGGCCTGCCCAGCTTATCACTGTTCCTATTTAAGCAAAGATCTCGGCTCAATCCAGAGCTGTTCCTTTCCTGTGCCTTTGGCCAACCCCCAGTCCAAGGCTTTCCCATTTAGGCACCAAGGGTCCTTAGTAGCTTGGCCCAAGGCCACATGGGTGCTTGGCCCTTTCCAGCCTTGTGAGTGAGATTTGACCCTCTTAAATATTGTTACCCAGAAAAGGATGCATCAGACAGAATGACTGAAGTAATATATTGTAAGGAACATAAACTAAAGAAATGAAGTGGGTTGGTTCTATTTCAAATATGATCTAATGGCTTGCTAGAATTGCCAGCAAGGTCAAATGACTGGTTAGTCACAAGACTCGCAACAATTAGATTTTGAATAATCTAGATACCTGGAAGCTAGTCTAGTCCTATTGGGAAAGTATTCTAAGTAAATAAAGTAGTCTAGACAACATTGTTCTCCTTTCTTTAGCTGTAATGGATTTCTTTGATTAAGCATACGATAAGCCAATTCACATGGTCTACTTCAGTATGTGAGGGAGTTGTTGCATACTATGTTTTCATGATGTACTCAAGAAAATGTGCTCAATTTTAAATTCACTTATTATGTCTCTTGAATTATTTGTAAATCTGTAGACCATTTATTTATTGCAATTAGCAGAGAAGTTTCATTTATTGCACAGTTCTTTGAATCAAAGGTTGAATGAAATTGATTCTACCAAATGAATGACTTGTTCTTACTTTATTTATTGCAATTTAAAGATGGACTTTGTTGATTTTAGCTTTATTGGTATTACTGTATTGTAAGAATTTCTTTTTTTCTTAATTGATGCTAGATTTTATATTGTGGCCAGGAGTGCATTGAATTTAGTTGTGGTTTCCACACTTACGTTTTTATAGATTCAAAAATTAGAAAGAAACTGGAAGTGAACATAACTGCTAGTTGCTACTTATTGAATTTATATTCAATATAAAGCATTTCCTTCAGATTGGATTGAGTATTATTAGAAATGACTTTCAGTTTTAGCCTTGTCCAATTACTATCTTAAAAATGGTAAAGTTGGGAACATAATCAGGAAGAAAAAACAGTTTTAATATTACGAATAAACTTATGTTCGGAAAAAAATAGTTTTACTATTACTAATAAACTTGAGTTTTTTTTTTTTTATATCAACAAAGATTTTATTGATGAAAATGCACTGGAGAAGTACAATAAAGAGACATCAATAAACTGATGTTAAGGACTAGAATATACAAGGCAAACAACTTTACCATTTTCAAGTGTAATAATTTATATGGGTGATTTGTACTGTGGATCAATTACATGTTTGTGTTTCATTATATATTGAGCCTGTATACAAATAGGCAACAATCTCTGATTGATCTCTCTTTGACTCTACAGGCAGTTGATCACCCTTACCTTGTGGTATATTCTAGAACTGCTGCTGGAAGTGGAAGTTTGGATGATGCTGGTAATGGTGAGCAAGTATGTGGCTTATGTCATGACACAGTAGAAGATCCTGTGGTAAGTCATCATATGTGTCTGTATTCTTTTCATGTTTTACTTTATGCTTTTCTTTGGCCTTGATACTTGGTCATTACTATTAGCCAATATTTGGTAGTTTTATATTATCAAGTTAGGACTGGAAACTGTTCAAACTTCTTATTGAAAGCCTGCCAGTTTAGATTGTAGACAGATAACAAAGTAGTTCTGATATTTGAATCAGTTTATTCTATAAATGAGTAGTTATCATGTTATCCCTGAAAATCGAAAAGATGTCTATCTCAACTTGGATTTGGATAGTTGTAAAATGCAAAAGGTGACATTTCCTTGGTGGCCACCTGTTTCTTGGCTGACCAAGTTATCTTTCCACGTACTTTGGATTCTTGAAGAAAGGACATGTCCAAGTGCTAGTAAGCACCTTGGTTCCATTACATCTGCACACTCACAAAAGAAGTTTTCCAGATTGACATTTAATGTGATTGTGATGTACTTTTCAAGTGTGCCAAAAGGGCGTTTGGCAACTGAAGCTTTCTTAGATGCTTGGTTAAAAAGAGTGGCATACACATGTTGGGCATGTTATGGATTAAAAAGTACTTTTACCAGAGTTTTATGATTGATGTAATTTATGAGAAATGTAAAGAAACTCTTTACTCTTGCTCACATGTTTTTGGATTTCTTAGTTATTCAGGTACATTTTCTATATATTGCCTTTCAATTTAAAAAAGAAAATATTCAAGTGCCCTAAATGACTTAACTATGATTTTCTTGTTTTATGATTACTGAAGAGCCATTGCTGCATTTGTAGAGCGACATAATAATGTGATGTGATATAATGAGATAATAATATACATTTTTTATTCCCAACAAAAGAACTAGATTTCAAATTACATTTGAATTTGGCAAGGAATATGCATTGGCATGCCACTTCCTGGTTTTAATAAATACCTATTCCTTCATTCATTTTCTTTTGATATGTAATGATTATGTATAATTCTTTGGACTGTTTCAGGTCGCATCATGTGCGCACATCTTCTGTAAGTCTTGTTTCATCAATTTCCCTGCTAGTACGGGACAAGTCTTATGCCCTTCATGTTCAGAACCACTTACTGTTGACTTCAGTACAAATGTGGATCATGGAGTTCAGAATTCTAAAACAACCATTAAAGGGTTTAAACCATCAAGTATTCTAAACCGGATCTGCCTTGACAATTTCCAGACAAGTACAAAAATTGAGGCTTTGGTATGTGATATCTAAAATTGTTTCATTTGTTTGTTGTTATTGTAGTTAGTATAATTATTATTATCATTTTAGGGAGTCAAAACTTCATGAAGAAACAAAAGAAGCTAAACTGTAATGAAAAATGCAGTCCATGCATTATCTTGTCATTTACCAGTACATAGACATCAGTTTTTTCAGTAATTTTGGCTTCTCTATAATTAAGTTCGAGCCAAACTTATTGACGTAGCGGAATACACGGGGCCTAGATATCGTTTTAGTAGACAAAAAGGGCTTTCGAATCCACGAGAAAAACAGAACCTTGAATCCACAAGGAAGAAAAAATATCTTAATATTATTGATTGAATGAATAAAAATTTTCTTTGCCATGAGGCTTAGCTATTTATAATAAACTAAACCTAACACTTGTAGGAAAAATAATTCTAAAATAAAATAGGGAACTTAAATTAACACAAATTAGGAAACCTAAGAGAATAAGAAACTAAAATTCTAAATTATTTAAAAATCATAGTCGAAATCTAATTCCAAAATAATAAAATTAAGAAATCTAAAAATTCTAAAATATTTATACTAAATTACAACAATCCTAATAATATATCAAAAATATTAAAACTAAAAATATAAAAATTCTAAAAATCTTGTCCTACATCAGGCTCCTCTTCTTTGAAAGAACTCATCCTCGAGTTCATATTAGAGATCTGCTATCGTCCATCCCAAATAAAAAGATACTTGGTATGCTTCAGTTGTTTGTCCCTCTTCCGAACATTATATGCAGAGAAGTCTACTTTCTGAAAGTTATTCTCTATATGCTTCAACTGGTGGACAAGATCAATTAGACAAGCATTGAAAATCAAATTAAATTGCTCCATACCAAGAAAATCAACGAAGTGTATTTTATGTTGATGTTGAATACTTTTTGGACTCTGCTCTGTCTTAGAATCAGTTGGACATTCAATTATCAATCTTGGAATATTAATTGCATCCTCAATCAACTTCTTTGGTGCACATGTCAACTTTATTATCTCATCTTTTATTTCTTTTTTTTCATTGAGTTCAACTAGATTTCTTTCTTTTGCGATCTCATAACCATCATAATAATCGAGAGATGATAGTTCCATCATTAGAAGCTCTTGGCTACCTTCAATTTTTTTCTCTTGCTTCACCTCTTCATTGTCTTCTTCAAACTTCTTGATCAAAGTAATTCCAGTGACCTCTCTTTCTTCAATTTCAACGTTCTCACCATTGTTGAAATCAACTTGATTTTCTACTTCAATTGAATATCTGTTTGGGTCTTCAAAATTTTGAAACATTGAGATATTCAAAACCTTTTCTTCTTCAATGCGTGGTCGAGCGTGACAAATTTGTTGATCTACAAGATTTGATTGACCCAAACTTGGCAAAGGCATAGTCATGTTTCTCGAATAATTTGTATCCATAATTGCATAATAATTATTGAATTGCGAAGAATATTGTGAATCAGAATTACCTTGGCACAATTGTTTCGATTCAAGCTTTTTTTGATATTGTTGATACAAAATTTGCCCATGATTTGATTGAAGGAGTCTAGAACTCATCAACTTCTTCATCTTATGCCACGTCCTAGTGGGTTGTTTGCATTGTCTCCTTCGATCATATACTGCAATTGTTTCCACCATGTAGAAACATACCTTGTAACTTACGTGCGACATATTTGGCTTGCTTTTCTTCAGAGATTTCCATACACACAAGGAATTTGTCAACTTTGCGAAACCAATAAATAAAATCCTTGGTACGACAAGAAGCATTAAAACAGGGAATTTCTGGTGGTACTTGATAATCTGAAAAGTCATGATTGATGCAATTATTGCTATTGAACATATTACTAAATTTTCGTTGTTGCCTTACTGACTGGTATTCACCATAATCCTCGAATAACTCATCTTCAGATTCGTCCTCACTATCGTATTGATAACAAGAAGATCGTCTCAAGATGTTGTGGTTAATAGGCTGACCTTGGGCAAATCCCATAGCGCGGTTCGTATTAATGTTGAGACTAATACCACTTGACGTAGCGGAATACACGGGGACTAGATATCGTTCTAGTAGACGAAAGGGGCTCTCGAATCCACGAGAAAAATAGAACCTTGAATCCACAAGAAAGAAAAAATATCTTAATATTATTGATTGAATGAATAAAAGTTATCTTTGCCATGAGGCTTACATAGCTATTTATAATAACTAAACCTAACACTTGTAGGAAAAGTAATTCTAAAATAAATTAGGGAACTTAAATCAACACAAATTAGGAAACTTAAGAGAATAGGAAACTAAAATTCTAAACTACTTAAAATCTTAGTCAAAATCTAATTCTAAAATAATAAAATTAAGAAACCTAATAATTCTAAAATATTTATACTAAATTACAAGAATCCTAATAATATATCAAAAATATTAAAACTAAAAATATAAAAATTCTGAGAATCTTGTCTTGAAAATCTTGTCCTACATCACTTTTAAGGCAATTTAGAAGTGAGCTTTATACAGCTCATTCTTTTAAGAAATGAAACCTCCAAAATGTTGCAATTCATTTATGTATTGAACAAGAGAACAAGAATGTACACATCCATGGTAGAGTAGTGACAGTGATGCAATGACAATGTTCCATGACATGGCATATGTTGAAACCCATAATTAAATGTGGAACATACATCTATATGCTTATCTGGGTGGGATGCATCTTTAAGTTCATTTAGTTGTTAACTAAATATTGGCTGTAGAGGAAGGGGAATGGGGCAAAAGGCTGTCTAATCCTATAACAATACTTCATTGTCACTCAGTTGATTTGCCATCTTTTGCTTCAATATTCAAGTTTTTGTAATGTTATCATCCTGAGCTTCAGGGCTTTGAAATAGAAATAGAACTGGAAAGAGCAGCCTAGAAAAATCATCTTTACATTTGATCAGACAACCACATTGCTTCTCCTGTCTGCCCATCCTTTCGCACGTGCATAAAAAACGAAACAAAAGAGGATTAAGGGTAGAAGTATGAGTTAACTGATGTCAGAGAGTAAATTGGTCAACTAAATGGTTGTGATAGACTTGTACCTACATCTCTGTTGATTTTATTGTGAATCTATAGGTATTTACATATTTTGTTCACTTGTTATCTTTTTGTTACTGCTAAAATGAATTGATCGGTTCCAGAGAGAAGAAATCAGATTCATGGTTGAAAGCGATGGTTCTGCAAAAGGAATCGTTTTTAGCCAATTCACGTCATTCTTGGATCTGATACACTACTCCCTCCAGAAGGTAAAGTAAACAATTCAGGTTCCAGCGTTGTGTTTATGCATTGAAAAGTGAAAGCCATAGTTATTTGATCAACCTTTTGCAGTCCGGCATTACTTGTGCTCAATTAGTGGGGTCCATGTCCATGAGTGCTAGAGATGCTGCAATTTTGAGATTTACCAACAATCCAGATTGCAAAATCTTCCTTATGAGCTTGAAAGCTGGAGGTGTCGCCCTGAATCTCACAGTTGCATCACATGTAAGGAGCCTCTCTTCATATTGTCAATTAAATTGGTGGAGATGGATGCAAAATCACTTCATTTTATATTTTGCTTTAAATTTTTAATCCTGTTTAGATTATTCACTTTATTACTTTTATTTATTTATTTTATTTCGTTAGGGCTTTAAAGGAGCTGCTCAGTTTATGTTGAAAAAGATTGATGAATGGCTAGAACTTGAATGAGATCCTTTTTCTTTTGAATTCTAGTTACATTTCCCATTACCCTTAATTCTCTCTCTCTCTCTCTCTCTCTCTCTCATGCACACCTGTGATGACGCTAGATGGAATAGATTATCTAAGTCCTCTCCATGAAGGCGCAATGTTTCTTTTGTATATTTGCTCTATTTTTCTATACAAGTACTGATTTCTTTTTCTTCTGCAGTTATTTTTAAGCACTTGTCACTTCCTCTTATTCTGGCTTTTCACACTTGATTTTGCAGGTTTTCCTGATGGATCCCTGGTGGAATCCAGCTGCAGAGCGACAAGCCCAAGATAGAATCCACCGAATAGGACAATATAAACCTATCAAGTAGTGTTGCTTCCTTGTCCCATTGTCCATTAACTTCTGTGATAGCATCACTGTGAGAGGTGACATTTTATTTTTATTTTTGGGGTAATGTTGTAGGGTTGTGAGATTTGTCATTGAGAACACAATTGAGGAAAGAATTTTGGAGTTGCAGAAGAAGAAGGAACTAGTCTTTGAAGGGTTAGTTCAAATTGTCTACGTGCATTGGGATACTCGCCAAATTTTAGAACCTCCTGGGTGAATCTGCTTACCCTTTTTTTTAATCATTTTGGTTTGTTTACCAGACATGGATTTGTTGGCTCTTCGAGGCTCTTGGAAAACCTAACGGAGGCTGACTTGCGGTTCCTCTTTGGTTCCTGAACAGTGGATTAGCTACAAACTCAGTTTTGTACCTTGGTTTAGTGTTCTATAGCAGTGTTCATATCTGATATCTTGAATGGTCTGCCCAAGGGGGAAGAAAATGAGAGATGCTTTTGACTTCAGTGGTTGCACAACTGACACTGCAATGCCGCCACCACCACCATTTTTTTGTACAGAGGTACCTAAAACTGTTATTTTTTGATTGGGAAAAGATAGGCACATTTGTGAACAGTATTATCATCAACCTCTGAACTTGTTATGGACATCATTTTGTTTTTCGAGTAGGTTATATGCATAGATGAACATTCACTGTAAAATCCTGTATTGGTCATAAATTCCATTGTGAAAATAGCGATTCCTAAATAAAATGTGAATGCATGAATGAACTCCTTGGACCCAACTGATTGCAGTGCATCATCCATTGTGGTTTTGCTTTTTATTTTGTTTTTGGTGTTTTCAGGAAAAAAAAAATGCTCAAAAACATCAATCTTTTTCAATCATGTAAAAATGGTTGTCGAAAAGTTAAAAATAATTTTTTGGTGGTTTCGTAAAATGTGAGTTGTTTAAAAAAAAAATTGCCAAAATTATTTTTTGGAATTAATTTGCTAAAACAAGTGTCATCTGTTTTTTGAAAAATAAAAACAAAAAATGAACACACGGTCAATTAGGCCCTTAACACAACTGCTGTTTTTAGAAGAATAAATAAAGCTAAGGCAAGGCAAGGCAACGTCAGGTGATATTATTGGTATCTCTGACCTCTGATTTATGGAGAATTCTATTTATACATAAAATTCATACAAATAATTTGACAAGAATGATGTGATAATGTATTATTATAAACAAATTCATATTTAATGGTAATTTTATTTTGAAATGACAGATTTGAAATGAGTCATACCATTATGTATAAAACTTATGTACCATTTTTTTATTTTGTATAGCATTACCCCTAATTTATTGAAGGCTATCACAGACTCGCAGTCGATGAAATTGGACAATGGCAGGTCATGAAATTGGACAATGGCAGGTCTGTGTAAGCTTTGTGGGGGTGGTTTTCTGGAGAGTCTAATTTGATGATTTGAATTGTTCATATTATAAAATTCGTTAACTAGATTATTCATGAAAAGAATTACGTTAATCGAACATTTGTAGCTCTATCACAAGACCACATTTGTGTTTTAAAAAATAAATTGCTAGCATGATTTTAATAATTTTTTTTTTAAAAAAAAAGCAAGACTTAATTATGGAATTACGAATATCCGATTAACCTGATTTTTTTCATAGATATAGTTCTACAAATTTTTTAATATAAACTATTCAAATAATCCAAATAGGTAAAAAACAAGTTCCCAAAAAGCCTCACAACAAGCTATGGGCACAACATTAACCCCATGCCCCTTTGTGATACAGACGAAATCCTTTCAAATTATCGAACATTTTTATCATACAAGCTAATCCCGAATATATAACAGTAGCAAGACCATAGAGAGACAGCAAGTGATTCTCTCTCTAGGAGATTTCTGGTAGTGCTCCGACCATGGTCTGGTGACCTCTTTTATACTTCTAAAGTGTAGATCTATAACTTTAGGTCATGTTTGATTCATAAGACTAGTGAAGTATCAATAATCCTATTAAATTAGTATGGTATTCATTATTCAATTGGATTAATATCCATTGGATTAATAATCTCACCCCTACCCCATTACTAATAATCCTACAAATTTGTTGGATTAATTATCTATTGGATTAATAATCCTAAACCAAAATGATAAAACAAACATAGAATAATTGGGCCCACGAATTAATAATCTCAATCCTATGCTCTAATTCACCCAATCAAACATACCATTAGAGTATAGATTTACAGTTCTAGAGTGTAGATTTGACCCTTTTATGTCTAAAATAGAGGTTTTGAGTATTTTTTTCCCGATTTCGACATAGATTTTTAGATTTTCAACACCTACAATGGTTCCCTCTTCTCTTCTCTCATACTATTGTGGGTGTTCTTCCTCTTCAACTTTAACTTCTGACGGTGTTTGAAAAACGACGGCAATAGTGGCAGAGTTGGGCAGCGGCGACGAGGACGACGTAGATGGTGGGCTTTGAGGCAGATCTAGCTTTGCAAATCACATTTATGAGAAGATCAGTGGTTTTCCTTTAATTGTAATTGATTTTTTTAACAGATTTGTTTTTTTTTGTAGTTCGTAATTTTTGTTTTGTTGTATTGGTTGTTTGGCCTTTAGGATCATATCATTTTCCTTTTATTGATGTAGCTAGATTGTTATTTTTATATTAAATTCTTACATACTGAAATTGTATATAAAATTAAAAAGGAAAAAGCTTCTTGTGATTTTTGAGCCAACAAATTAGGGTACAACTTTTCTTTAGTTTGTTTCTGGACTAGACGATATTGTTGGGCCTTGGTGGGCCTGACTCCAAATCGTTAGAGCTCGTCGATTATGTTATTCCTATAAAAAATCACATTAATCAAATATTGATATTTTTTATTTTGTATAGCATTACCCCTAATTTATTGAAGGCTATCGCAGACTCGCAGTCGATGAAATTGGACAATGGCAGGTCTGTGTAAGCTTTGTGGGGGTGGTTTTTTGGAGAGTCTAATTTGATGATTTGAATTGTTTATATTATAAAATTCGTTAACTAGATTATTTATGAAAAGAATTACGTGAATCGAACATTTGTAACTCTATCACAAGACCACATTTGTGTTTTAAAAAATAAATTGCTAGCATGATTTTAATAATTTTTTTTTTAAAAAAAAGCAAGACTTAATTATGGAATTACGAATATCTGATTAATCTTATTTTTTTCATAGCTATAGTTCTATAAATTTTTTAATATAAACTATTCGAATAATTAAAATAGGTAAAAAACAAGTTCCCAAAAAGCCTCACAAGAAGCTATGGGCACAACATTAACCCCGTGCCCCTTTGTAATACAGTCGAAATTCTTTCAAATTATCGAACATTTTTATCATACAAGCTAATCCCGAATATATAGCAGCAGCAAGACCATAGAGAGACAGCAAGTGATTCTCTCTCTAGGAGATTTCTGGTAGTGCTCCGACCATGGTCGGGTGACCTCTTTTATACTTCTAAAGTGTAGACCTTCATGTTTGATTCCCAAGATTAATAGTGAAGTATTAATAATCTTATTAAATTAGTGTGGTATTCATTATCCAATTGGATTAATATCCATTGGATTAATAATCTCATCCCTACCCCACAACTAATAATCCTACAAATTTATTGGATTACTTATCCATTGGATTAATAATCTTAAACCAAAATGATAAAACAAACATAAGATAATTGGGCCCACGGATTTATAATCTCAATCCCATACTCTAATCCACCCAATCAAACATACAATTAGAGTATAGATTTACAGTTCTAGGGTGTAGATTTGACCCTTTTATGTCTAAAATAGAGGTTTTGAGTATTTTTTTCCCGATTTCGACATAGATTTTTAGATTTTCAATACCTACAATGGTTCCCTCTTCTCTTCTCTCATACTATTGTGGGTGTTCTTCCTCTTCAACTCTAACTTCTGACGGTGTTCGAAATACGACAGCAATAGTAGCGGAGTTGGGCAGCAGCGACGAGGACGACGTAAATGGTGGGCTTTGAGGCAGATCTAGCTTTGCAAATCACATTTATGAGAAGATCAGTGGTTTTCCTTTAATTGTAATTGATTTTTTTAACAGATTTGTTTTTTTTTGTAGTTCGTAATTTTTGTTTTGTTGTATTGGTTGTTTGGCCTTTAGGATCATATCATTTTTCTTTTATTGATGTAGCCAGATTGTTATTTTTATATTGAATTCTTACATACTGAAATTGTATATAAAATTAAAAAGGAAAAAACTTCTTGTGATTTTTGAGCCAACAAATTAGGGTACAACTTTTCTTTAGTTTGTTTCTGGACTAGACGATATTGTTGGGCCTTGGTGGGCCTAACTCCAAATCGTTAGAGCTCGTCGATTATGTTATTCCTATAAAAAATCACATTAATCGGACATTGATAGTCACTTGATTAGATTACAATAGTGTCTACGATTTATTTTTAAAAACATAATTGTCATTGAAACAAATGCAATATGATCAAATGGCTATCGATATCCGATCAACATAATTTTTTGCAATGATGATTTACTTAATTAACTCTACACATTGAGGTTTAGATCATCCAAATGGGCCCAAAGTTGGGCTCACCATGGCCTAACAGTACCGTTCAGTCCGATTTCAAACTAGAGACAAGTTATAGCCAATAAATTATATGGATGAGTGGCAACATTTTGGAAATTACAAAGCAAATTAGACTAATAAAACTACTTACAAATAGGTGGAATCACCAATTCAATTTATTGAAATACCCTTGCTATCTTCTTCTTTTCCATCATTCTATTGTCTTATCTCTGTAACTTCGAGAATTGCTTCACCTCAACCTTAGTTTGCAACTTCAAACCCTACCTTCGTCCTCCTACCTAGCCATTTCATACCCCACCCAACAGTTTAATTGACCAAAACCCTAGTCCCAAGAACTTCCAAACCCCTCCTCATCACAACCCTTCACTCTCCCAAACCACTTCCCATCATAACCCCTTACTCCCTTTCCGTTTTCTTGTGTTAGGTGTAATTGACAAATGTGCCCAACTCTATATAGGTAGCATTTGTAAACATTCACCTGTAAAGATATTCAGGGAGAAAAAGTAATGAAATGTAAAAAATTTGGATTGTTTAAAGTGCTTATGTAACAATTTTCGGCTGCATGATGCATCACAAATATACCAACCTCTAATCCTATCTACAGATAGTTGTTTCCTCTACATCATCTTCTTCACTTAACTCTTTCTCTTCAATGGCAATGCTCGAGAAAG